GTCAGCGTAGCAATGATAGGAGAGGCCATGTGAGGATATGACAGAGCCAAGTGACTTGGTGTATAGGGAGAAAAGGAGAGGGCCTAGAACTGAGCCCTGGGGGACACCAGTGGTGAGAGCACGTGGTGCGGAGACAGCTTCTCGCCACGCCACTTGGTAGGAGCGATCGGTCAGGTAGGACGCAATCCAGGAGTGAGCCGCGCCGGAGATGCCCAGCTCGGAGAGGGTGGAGAGGAGGATCTGATGGTTCACTGTATCAAAGGCAGCAGACAGGTCTAGAAGGACAAGAGCAGAGGAGAGAGAGTTAGCTTTGGCAGTGCGGAGAGCCTCCGTGACACAGAGAAGAGCAGTCTCAGTTGAATGACCAGTCCTGAAACCTGACTGGTTTGGATCAAGAAGGTCATTCTGAGAGAGATAGCAAGAGAGTTGGCTAAAGACGGCACGCTCAATAGTTTTGGAAAGAAAAGAAAGAAGGGATACTGGTCTGTAGTTGTTGACATCAGTGGGATCGAGTGTTGGTTTTTTGAGAAGGGGTGCAACTCTATACAAAGCATAATGTTTGGGACAAACACAACACAACACATCACTGAGTACCACTCTTCATATTTTCAAGCATAATGGTGGCTATATCTTGTCATCAGCAAGGCGAGGGAGTTTTTTTTGGATAAAAAGAAACGGAATAGAGCACAAAATCCTAGAATAAATCCTGGTTCAGTCTGCTTTCCAACAGACACTGGGAGACAAATTCACCTTTCAGCAGGACAATAACCTAAAACATGAGGCCAAATATACACTGGACTTGCTTACCAAGACAACATAGAATTTTCCTGAGTGGCCTAGTTACAGTTTTGACTTAAATCGGCTTGAAAATATATGGTAAGACTTGAAAATGGCTGTCTAGCAATTATCAACAACCAACTTGACAGAGCTTGAAGAATTTTAAAAATAATAATGTGCAAATATTGTACAATCCAGGTGTGCAAAGCTCTTAGAGAACTACCCAGAAAGACGCACAGCTGCCAAAGGTGATTCTAACATGTACTGACTCAGAGGTGTGAAGAATATATATTTTTCTATTTCATTTTCAATACATTTGCACAAATAAAATAAAAACATGTTTTCACTTTGTCATTATGGGGTATTGTGTGTAGATGGGTTAACAAAAAATCTCAATTTAATACATTTTTAATTCAGGCTGTAACAAAACAAAATGGGGAATAAGTCAAAGGGTATGAATACTTTCTGAAGGCATTGTAAGGGAGCCTCTGTCGGTCCCTCTCTGCTCTTTCTCTCTCCATGTCTGTGTGTCTGTCTGTCTCTGTCTGTCTGTCTGTCTGTCTGTCTGTCTGTCTGTCTCTGTCTTTCTGTCTCTCTGTCTCTTTGTGTGTGTGTCTCTCTCTCTGTCTCTTTGTGTCTCCCCCTTTCTACTCTCTCTCTGTCTCTCTCTCGCTCGCTTTCTCTAAAATTCAGATAAGCCTACTCTGTGCAGTATCAAGGCATACTTCTTTCAAAATGCCTTATTACCTCAGCAGACACCTAGGCCAGGGATCACTCAAACACTCACATCATGAAGCTATTTCTGAATCTGAATAATACTAGGTGCTTCACACGGCTGAGCCCTGAGCAATGGGAGTTTCCGAGATTCTGGAAAGTCTCTTCAACATCTTACTGGGATTGGGTGTGGACAGAGCTGAAATGAAAACAACCTCCTTACTAACATATGGAGAGTGAGATTGACAGACTGGTTTCCTGACTGGTTTGCTGTGTGAGTAGGCCTAGAACCTGTTCTGTGAGTGTTGAGATGACTTATGTTATTTTGTGTGTTCATGGAATTATACTCGCTATACTTGATTTTCAGGTCATGTAAGGTACAAACATGTTTCCCAATAATATTGGGTAGCCACTTCAGCTGTATTATCAGTCATGTCAATGTTTGACACTCCAAAATGTGAAAGACTTGAGATGCTTATGTGATCACTCATGAGGGCTGGTCCTTGTGCTACATGAGTTGTCTCACGTACTGGAGTGTTTTATTGTCATGTAGGCCAATTGACTTGGAGCAAAGTCACCCACAGCAACATGTCCAGGCATGCCTGGACATGTCCACCTCAGACAAGGTCAGGCTAGAGACAAGTGGTCAGTGAGCATAAAAAATGGTAGCACTTTATAATAACACCTTGTAATAAAGCATTTTTTATTGATTAGTAAATAGTTTATTCATAATTTACTAAGCATTTTTCCTACATTTGTGTGTGTGTGTGTGAACATGTAGCCTACGTGTGTGTGTGTAGATGCATTCGTATGTGTGCGTGTTATAACGAAGTTCCACACTTCCCTAAGAACTGAGGTTACAATTTTAATTTAATCCACCAGAAAGGACAGAACAAATAATGCAACAAATATTGTGGTTAAACTCAAAAATACTCATTGATAAAAAAACATTATTTTTTGAAAAAATGTTTTTAAAAGGTATAATCTTCATAAATGACATCATAGGTAGGATTGGTGGAGTTATGTCGCACATACAGCTAACAAAAACATATGGAAATGTCTGCTCTAATTGTCTGCTCTAAATCAGTTTAATTTAAGGACCAAAAAATTGACAACCGTGATTGCAAAATAGTTGGGAAGATATTTTTGACGTACCGATTCCATGACACAAAACGACTCCAAATTCAAAACTTAGAATTTTTCAATTTAAATTATTATACAAAATTCTTGCAACCAATATAATGTTATTTATATGGGGATACAACCTTCCCAGCTTTGCAGATTTTGCTGCGAAGAGACAGAATCATTAGATCATTTGTTTTGGTACTGTCCATATGTAGCTTGTTTTTGGTCACAGGTCCAGGAATGGCTGAAGAATTGCAATATTTACCTGGCGCTAACCCTGCAGATAGCACTACTGGGTGATCTGAAAAGTCATAGTCAATCGATCAATAATATAATAATACTTTTAGCAAAAATGTTTATTTTCAATTTACAATCTGTAGTAACAATGAGAATAGAAAGGTACGTAACTTTTGTGAAACATCACAGCACAGTTGAAAAATATATGGCAAATAGAAATCCAATATGGATGGTGTTAAGAGATCGATGGGAGGGGTTGAATGGAGCTGAAGGTTGGGACTAATAACAACTAATAACAACAAGATAACTAATGTAAAATATACTGTGTCCATAATACGTATATAGGTTATAGGTTAAGAACTTTTGTGAAAGAGCACAGTTTGAAAGATATGGCAAATAGAAATCAAACCAGATGGACATCAGAAATAGATGGGAGAGGTTGAGGGTAGAGGAAGGACAGGAGTAAAAACAAAAAAAATAGAACTATTGTAAAATACTCTGTGTCCATAAAATGTATATAGTATGTATAAGCTGGAAGTAGAGGCCTAAGCGTTGTTGTTCACTAGTTTACTCCAATTAGGGGAGGGGTGGTCGGTAAGAAAGTAATACATTAAAATATATTTTTTAAAGGATATGTAAGTAAATGTATTTATATGTATGTATGTATGTATGTTTATATGTATGTATTTATATGTGTATGTATATGTGTGTATGTACAGTACCAGTCAAAAGTTTGGACACACCTACTCATTCAAGGGTTTTTCATTACTTTAAGCCCATCATTACTTTAAGACGAAGGTCAGTCAATTCGGAAAATTTCAAGAACTTTTAAAGTTTCTTCAAGTGCAGTCGCAAAAACCATCAAGTGCTATGATGAAACTGGCTCTCATGAAGACTACCACAGGAATGGAAGACCTAGAGTTAACTCTGCTGCAGAGAATAAGTTCATTAGAGTTACCAGCCTCAGAAATTGCAGCCCAAATAAATGCTTCACAGAGTTCAAGTCACAGACACATCTCAACATCAACTGCTTGGAGGGGACTGTGTGAATCAGGCCTTCATGGTCGAATTGCTGCAAAGAAACCACTACCAAAGGACACCAATAAGAAGAAGAGACCTGCTTGGGCCAAGAAACACGAGCAATGGACCGGTGGAAATTGGTCTGGAGTCCAAATTTGGAATTTTTGGTTCCAACCGCCGTGTCTTTGTGAGACGCGGTGTGGGTGAACGGATGATCTCTGCATGTGTAGTTCCCACCGTAAAGCATAGAAGAGGAGGTGTTATGGTGTGGGTGTGCTTTGCTGGTGACACTGTCTGTGATTTATTTAGAATTCAAGGCACACTTGACCAGCATGGCTACCACAGCATTCTGCAGCGATACGCCATCCCATCTGGTTTGGGCTTAGTGGGACTATCATTTGTTTTTCAACAGAACAATGACCCAACACACCTCCAGGCTGTGTAAGGGCTATTTTACCAAGAATGACCTGGCCTCCACAATCCCCCGACCTCAACCAAATTGAGATGGTTTGGGATGAGTCGGACGGCAGAGTGAAGGAAAATCAGTCAACAAGTGCTCAGCATATGTGGGAAGTCCTTCAAGACTTTTGGAAAAGCATTCCAGGTGAAGCTGGTTGAGCGAATGCCAAGAGTGTGCAAAGCTGTCATCAAGGCAAAGGGTGGAAGAATCTCAAATATATTTTGATTTGTTTAACACTTTTTTGGTTACTACATGATTCCATATGTGTTATTGCAAAGCTTTGATGTCTTCACTATTATTCTACAATGTAGAAAATAGTAAAAATAAAGAAAAACCCTTGAATGTCCAAACTTTTGACTGGTACTGTATATATTAGCAAAAAAATATATCGGGGATTGGAAGTGATGCAGACAATTACATTGATGAAAACTACAATCTATCTGCAATATTAAAGCTGATCTACCCCCTAAAAAATAAAAAATAAAAATAATAATAGCAATGAACTGATCCTAAAAACCTGCTATTACAACATTAGGAAGATAATTTGGTGAGTTCAATGGTTCACTAGTTCACAGTATGACAGCTATAGGGTGTGAGCAGCCAGGCATTGTTTGGGTTCACCCTGGATTAGTTAGCTCTGTGCAAGCTGCCTGACTATATTGTTAAATCAGTCCACAGTAATGATGACAGCCGTCACATGCTGAGGCAAGCCAAACACAAGCCACACACACAGACCTGCCTCACTCACGCTACGGGCTCATTAGGGCTCTCTGAGATTCTACACCGCACACACATACCTCTGTCTGACTTTCTACAACTCTGTAGGAATTCAAACAGCTTGTTTACCAACATTTTGTTATACTCAGAAAGGCATGCAGGCAAGCGCGCTAACACACACACACACACACACACACACACACACACAAACACACACACATCACCTAATTCATTTATACACACTGAATCAGTGGCGTGAGGATTACAAGAGTTGCTCCAATGATTTAGCTATGAAGTCATCCCATACAATCCCATCGCAAATACACTGTATGAGCAAAGCAAAGCAAACACAACCTCATTGGTCTGTCTGGGTGAGAGACCACAAGGTAGAGAGCTCTGTTTGATATTTGATGTCATGATGTCACCCTCCCTAACTGTGCCCTACAAGGAAACCACCAGGATCAAACAGTGATGTCACGTGGGTGTGTGTGTGTGTGTGTTTGTGTTTGTGTGTGTGTGTGTGTGTGTGTGTGTGTGTGTGTGTGTGTGTGTGTGTGTGTGTGTGTGTGTGTGTGTGTGTGTGTGTGTGTGTGTGGCTGAAACACATACAGAGTACCGTTGGTCCATGATTAAGGCCTTCCATATCAGTGGAACGGTGAGGTAAGCTGGGAGTGCCCTGTTAATTCGGCCATTATTACAAACCTATCCCTGGAATACTATAATACACTCAGACAAAGGGTGCATCTAAATAGTGTAATGTCTAGACTATAAAATGGCTTATAGAATAGACAAGAATGGCTAATAGAAAATAATACAATAGAATATGGTGGAACCTGGTAGATAACCAGCCCCGTCTTTTTCACGCCCTTATCCGTGACGTACTCCACCTGCTTACCCACAAGGCTCTCTGTCTCCTCGCCTGGCTTCCTGTCTGCAGGCAGTAGGTGTTTGTTCTCTGCTTCAGGTAGGATGCGGAGGTCTCCGGCCTTATAGTTGTCCCAGAGCTGGTACATGTAGAGCACAGGGTCCTTCTTATAGGTGATGTAGTACCAGTTGGTCATGATGGGGGCGCGAGAGAGCACCATGCCCCTCCACTCGTTCTTCTCACCGTCCTCCTTCTCAAACAGGTGCTCCACAGCCTTCCCCACCAGCTCCGGCGCATCATGGGGCTCCTTGATCTTGTTGTTTACGACTTTCTCTGTTAAAACCTGGGGGTTGGAAACTCGCTCATCCTTGAACAGCTCGATGCCGTAGACGCAGTCGAATCCGTCATATTTGACCATGTAGAGGGAGGTGTTGACTGTGCATTGATGTGTGAGTCGACTGGTGAAAGCAAGTCCCTGACCATTAAGGCATCCACCACCTATCCTATGTTTTGAGACCAGTGCAGATTGAATGAGAGGAGACAAGAAGAGGAGAGGAAGCCATGGTAGACTATTGAGATGCACCCACAGCCACGACCTCAACCATTGCAGAACAGAACAAGAACAGAGCAAATCCCCTCATTTGTTATTGCAGAAGCCTCTGGCTCCTTGACCATATAATCTGCAGGGTGGAGCAGCACACAACCCTGCAAAGTGCTTCAGGCCTTGTTTTGTTATTCGATCTAAAAAAAATTAAGAGAAGCGGGGGAAACGTGCAGTGGAGTGTTCTGTTCTGGTGGAGGCTGGAGCACGTTGTTGCTTGGGTTAGGGTAGGGTGAAGACATGGCGTTGTGTATATAGGCTACATGTGATGTGGTGGTTACAGGTTAGCCTAGCTAGTGCCTGGCTGTTGGCTGGTAAAGAGACCAGAAGGCTCAGGATTTGTCCCAAATGACAGTCTATGCCCTATATAGTGAATAGGGTGCCATTTGGGACACACTTCAGTCAGAGAAAAGGCACCATAGAGGCCAGTTAGCTACTGATGTCACCCTGCTGGCTGGGTGAATGGATGGTGGTTATTTACAGATGTGGAAGTTTACATTTATATTTTGGCCATTTAGCATGCAGATTATCTTATCCAGAAGGACTTATAGGCAGATCCTAGACTTACAGTCAAGTTCTCTGGAGATCTCACCCTGAGGGTCCTAATTTTTTCTATCCTGGCTACAGGACAGGAAGTTGATCTTGGGCCCAGAGTCTTTCTTCGTCAGGTCACTAGTTCAGGAATAACTCGCATGGAGTGATGTCAGACAATGTCACCATCCCACTAACTACACACTTCTCTATACAGTATCCCTTTTAACATCAACATTCAGCTCTTATAAAGAGAAGTTCTAAATTACGATAACTAGGCCTAAATATGGAAATGCTCAGTCATGGATGCCTTTTCATACGCCCACAGTCACAAATCCTTTGAAACTTCACAAAATAAAAGGGGTGGGGGTGGGGAGAGCGTGGGTGTTTGCAGAATTAATTTACCTGAAATAATGTCAAGCTTTCAGAAATAGCCCTGTAAGTGATACTTCTGGCTGGCTGGAGGGAAGGAGTCTATGTGGCTGTGGTGTGAGATGTGATGAGAGGGGGAGAGAAAGGAGGAGAGAAAGCGAGAACACGAGGTGGTTTTACCTCCTAGTCCTAATTCATGGCCCAGTATGAGCCGATTACCATCTCCATCTCTGTCTGTCTCTGTCTCTTTCACACACTAACTCTCCCTCTCATTATTTCTCTCTCTCCTCTGCCTCTCTCCCCTCTCTTTCTCTCCCTCTCCTTTTCCCTTTCCTCTCTCTCTCCCTCACTCTTACCCCTTCCCCATCTCCCTCCTCCACCCTCTCCCCTTCTCCCTCCTTTCCTCCGTCTCAGTTGTGCTGCCCCGGGAGAGAGTGGAGTGGAGTGGTGGGCTCGTGTCAGACCAGCAGCAGAGTAAAAGTGTGTCCCAAATGGCAAGCTATTCCCTATATAGTGCATTACTTTTGACCAGTGCCCATAGGGCTCTGGTCAAAAGGGGTGCACCATATAGGGAAAAATATGTAATTTGGGAAGCAGCTTAAGAGCCTCTCCGAAACATTTGGAGCGGGGAATGTCTGAACCACAGGCGGCACACGCGACTTCCACTCATCCATTAATGCCCAAGGATTAGTAACAGGTGGTGAATATAATTCCATTTGCTGGCCACACGGCTGTAAGCAGCCACCGAGGAGGGCCTTGCCCGGAGAGGGAGAGAGGGAGGGAGAAGGGGAGAGAGAAAGAGGGAGCGGGAGAGAGAGAGAGGGAAGGAGAAAGAGCGAAAAAGAGGCAGAGACAGGCATGGGGCCTGTAGAGCTGTGAATATGCTTTGCTGTGAGGTATCAGAGGACGGGGGGGGGGGCTAGTATATATATTTTTGTATCTTTCCAAACATGATACTGTATGTCTGTTTAGCAAGGCAATGATGTATACTGAACAGAAATATAAACGCAACATGTAGTGTTGGTCCCATGTTTCATGAGCTGAAATAAAAGATCCCAGAAATTTTCCAAATGCACAAAAAGCTTATTTCTTTAAAATGTTATGCACACATTTGTTTACATCCCTGTTAGTGAGAAATTCTCCCTTGCCAAGATAATTAATCCACCTGATAGGTGTGGCATATCAAAAGCTGATTAAACAGTGTGATCGTTACACAGGTGCACCTTGTGCTGGTGGACAATAAAAGGCCACTCTAAAATGTGCAGTTTTGTCACACAACACAATGTCACAGATGTCTCATGTTTTGAGGGAGCGTGCAATTGGCATGCTGACTGCGGGAATGTCCACCAGAGCTGTTGCCAGAGATGTGAATGTTCATTTCTCTACCAACATCATTTTAAAGAATTTGGCAGTACGTCCAACCGGCCTCACAACCTCAGACCACATGTAACCACGCCAGCCCAGGACCTCCACATTTCTTCACCTGCGGGATTATCTGAGACAAGCCACCCGGACAACTGATGAAACTGTGGGTTTGCACAACAGAATAATTTCTGCACAACCTGTCAGAAACCGTCTCAGGGAAGCTCATCTGCATTCTCGTCGTCCTCACCAGGGTCTTGACCTGAATGCAGTTCGGGATCATAACCGACTTCTGTGGGCAAATGCTCACCTTCGATGTGCTCTTCACGGATGAATCCCAGTTTCAACTGTACCGGGCAGATGGCAGACAGCGTAGCGTGTATGACGTTGTGTGGGCGAGCGGTTGGCTGATGTCAATGTTGTGAACAGAGTGCCCAATGGTGGTGGTGGAGTTATGGTATGGGCAGGCATAAGCTACGGACAACGAACACAGTTGCATTTTATTGATGGCAATTTGAATGCACAGAGATACCGTGATGAGATCTTGAGGCCCATTGTCGTGCCATTCATCGATTGCCATCACCTCATGTTTCAGCATGATAATACAGGGCCCCATGTCGCAAGGATCTGTACACAATTCCTGGAAGCTGAAAATGTCCAAGTTCTTCCATGGCCTGCATACATATCAGACATGTCACCCATTGAGCACGTTTGGGCTTTCTGGATTGACGTGTATGACAGCGTGTTCCATTTTCCGCCAATATCCAGCAACTTCGCACAGCCATTGAAGAGGAGTGGGACAACATTCCACAGGCCACAATCAACAGCTTGATCAATTCTATGCAAAGGAGATGTGTTGCGCTGCATGAGGTAAATTATACTGACTGGTTTTCTGATCCACACCCCTACCTTTTTTAAAAGTTATCTGTGACCAACAGATGCACATCTGTATTCCCAGTCATGTGAAATCCATAGATTAGGGTCTAATTTATTTATTTCAATGGACTGATTTCCTTATATGAACTGTAACTCGGTAAAATCTTTGAAATTGTTTCATGTAGTGTTCTATATTTTTCTTCTTTAATGAGCAGGTGACGTTGCTCAACAAACACACCTTCAAATTACCACAACTTCTTCTTATGTACTGTATCTAAATCTGAGAGTTGTGGATCCTAACAAGAGTGGTGAGTACTATACACTTACAGTATCAGACTTGGTAATAGGTAATGAGTCAGGGCCGGTCTGATAGATAGGGATTGGAAAACAGGCATAAGTTGCGCCCAAGTAAAACCACACCTACCCAGGAGCGAAGACAAGAGACAGACGGACGTCTCCACAGAAGTGTCTGTGGATTCGTCCCGAATGGCATCCTATTCCCTATTTGTATTTGTATTTATTAGGGATCCCCATTAGTTTTGAATACTTAGGAACCCCCTCTTCCTGGGGACCAAACACATTAAGGCACTTACATCACACATAAAACAAAAGATAAAACAGTACATCATATTACATTATTACACAACTACATATCTACATACAAAATGTATAATTCCACCATACAACAGTATTACAATGTACATGTGTGTAGAGTGCGTGTGTGTGCGTATGCGTGTCTGTACCTGTGTGTGTGTCTCTTCACAGTCCCCGCTTTTCCATAAGCTGTATTTGTATCTGTTTCTTAAAATTTGATTCTACTGCTTGCATCAGTTACCTGATGTGGAATAGAGTTCCATGTAGTCATGGCTCTGTGTAGTACTGTGCGCCTCCCATAGTCTGTTCTAGACTCTGTTCTGGATTGTGAAGAGACCTCTGGTGGCATGTTTTGTGGGGTATGCATAGATGTCCGAACTGTGTGCTAGTAGTTTAAACAGACAGCTCGATGCATTCAGCATGTCAACAATTCTTACAAAAACAAGTAGTGATGATGGCAATCTCTCCTCCACTTTGAGCCATGAGGGATTGACATGCATTTTATTAATGTTAGCTCTCCGTGGACATTTAAGGGCCAGCCGTGCTGCCTTGTTCTGAACCAATTATAATTGTATCTTTGTGGCACCTGACCACACGACTGAACAGGTGCGACAAAACTAGGGCCTGTAGGACCTGCCTTGTTGATAGTGTTGTTAAGAAGGCAGAGCAACGCTTTATTATGAACAGACTTCTCCCCATCTTAGCTACTGTTGTATCAACAAGTTTTGTGTCAACATGTTTTGACCATGACAGTTTACAATCCAGGGTTACACAAAGCAGTTTAGTCACCTTGACTTGCTCAATGTCCACATTATTCATTACAAGACTTAGTTGAGGTTTAGGGTTTAGTGAATGATTTGTCCCAAATACAATACTTTTAGTTTTTAAATATTTAGGACTGACTTATTCCTTGCCACCCATTCTGAAACTAACTGCAGCTCTTTGTTAAGTGCTGCAGTCATTTCAGTCACTTTAGTAGCTGACGTGTATAGTGTTGAGTCATCCGCATGCATAGACACACTGGCTTTACTCAAAGCCAGTGGCATGTCATTAGTAAAAAATTTAAAAAGTAATGGGCCTAG